ACCCTGGGAGAGGATAGACGGAGAGTCAGTTTAAAAGCAGCCACCAGGGGGAGCGGGACGAGAAAAAGAGGGGCCTTGGCGATGGCCTCCCCGCAAAGGGGAGGAACTGGGAAATGTAAGTAAATGTGTTTCATTAATCTTTAATAGGGATAGTATATCTAGGCCAGCATTACCTTTTCCTTTTTTTTTTGTGATATATGGATATTGTGTTATAAGTGTTATAATGTGTAGGAAGATCATCATTGGATGCAAAAATAAACACTTTATAGTTCACTTTTCGCTGTAAAACTTTTTCTTGCATTTTATGAACACATCTCACATTTTCAATCACATATAGGATATTAATATACATAAAATTGAACTTTAAATTATATTTGATACATCATTTCCCTCGTGTATTTGTGAATATTGTGTCCTTTGGATAAGTCTGTCTATTTGTAATTTGTAAATCGGGCATTCACTTGAATTTAATCTATGGTTTGTATAAAGGTTTAATTTTTTATTTAGGGTGCTTAGAGCGATTGTGACATTTTGTTGCTTCAGTACAGTTGTGGCTACCCTGTACACTGCATATTTTACATATTTTAATGTTTTGGCAGTCTTTTGTTTTGTGATTCGGATTAAATTCAAAACAATTTGGCATTGTCTTACAAATATTCTGTCTTGTGTAGAACATCGCTCAAAAATATAGGTGTATATCTCATTACCCTTTTTTTTTAATTTGGTAAACTTTAGGAGCCATCCTCAATACTATACTGTGATATGGAGAGTTAGATCTCATTATAAATAGAACCTTTATTTAACTTTCCAAATTTTCTAAATCAGAATTCAATTTGCATACGGTTTGGACGAAGTTCGCCGCATCTGTAATTTGGATACGTTTTGACTATTATAATTGGATCTCTTAGTGTCGGTATGTAAATTTTACTAATATTTCAAATCTCCTGATTTGTTTAATTCATCTAGTAGTATCTTATTGTCAGTTTGGTTTAGAACTTTTATAATTACTTATATTTTTCTGCGTTTATAATTCTATTAATCTTAATGTTTCTACCATTTCCTCCAACATTATTAGAGATTTTTTTGAAGTGCATCAGAATTAGATACACCATCGTTTGAAGCCACAAGTAAAGTAGAGTATATATCGTCGGGCCAGAAATCTGAACTCTACACTTCTTTATCTTCTTTCACTTTGGAACTGTCTGGACAGGGTTCTTCATCTACTTTCACTTTGGAACTGTCTGGATAGGGTTCTTCTTTAGCTGTGTTCACTTTGGAACTGTCTGGACAGGGTTCTTTATCTACTTTCACTTTGGAACTATTGTGAGATCTGTTATCTGACCTCCAATTTAAATTTCCCTGACCATGTGAGGTTCCTCTGCACATTATCTGAAAATGAGGTCCTTGGCAACGCTTGCGTCTTACAAAAGATCGACAATCCCTCCTCAAATGATTCTTTCTCAAGCATTTAAAGCATACCTTCGCATCCTGTACTTTCTTTAATCTGCCTGATTCCAACATCTTGGCTGCCTTAAAACAGTTTTGGCTTAGATGGTTATCCCTCCCACAAAACAAACACGGCAAGTTGGTTCTTCCAACAAATAATACCCGATTCGCCATTGCTGTTACAGGCTCATTCTTCCCCTTATTCTGCTCTGCTGAACTATTGTGAGATCCATTATCTGACCTCCAATTTAAATTTTTGTGCCTATGTGAGGCTCCTCTGCACATTATCTCAAAATGAGGTCCTTGGCAACGCTTGCATCTCACTAAAGATCGACAACTCCTCTTCAAATGATTCTTTCTCAAGCATTTAAAGCATATCTTCGCATCCTGTGCCCTTTTTAATCTGTCTGATGCCAACATCTTGGCTGCCTTAAAACAGTTCTGGCTAAGATGGTTATCTTTGTCACAAAATAAACACGGTAAGTTTGTCCTAACAAATAACACTTGATTCGCCATTGTGTGGATCTTAGGGGATTATTTTCTTTATACTGCTGCGCCAATTGTGAACCCAATTCAGATATCTGTTCATCTTTCTTCAAATTTTCTTCTTTCAAATCAGCAACCTTAGAATCCACATTGATTTTTTCCATTTCGATGTTCCTTAGTTGGTTCTCCAATTCTTCCAGTTTAACTATATAGCCCTTTTCAGTTTCAGAAAAATTCCTTTTTAAACCTCTTAAGGTCACTTGATGACTTTCTTTAAGCTTTTCAACATCTATGGATTTCGCCTCTTTATCCAAGTCATCCTGAAGAACACTATAATCACATTGCGAACTTCTCAATCTTTCTAAGAGAGTAGTGCTTTCTTTACGGTAATGTTCCAACTGTGATTCCAATTGGGCAATTTGTTCATCTTTCTGAAAAGTTTCTTCTTGAAGTTGAGCCACTCTAGAATCAGAGGTTTCCATACGAATTAGTGCTTCTTCTTCAAGACGAAATTGCAAATCTTCAATCTTCCTTTTATCTTGCTCAATTTGTTGGAGCAAAGATTCTTTTGTCTTGGAATTTTCTTCAATTAATGTTTTAACCTGTCCCTCCAATTTATTAGTTTCTCTCTTTAAATGGATATATTCTTGTTCAATATTTGATATATCTGATTCTGCCTTTTCTGCTCTTGTCCTAACTTGTACAACCTTCTGTCTTTCCAAGTCCCTTTCTTCTGTGAGTTTTGAAATGTGAGCCTCTGTGGACCTAGTTCAGCCAATAAGATTTCTTTTATTCTATCATCAATCGACGTCAGTTTATCATTAAGAATGGTCAATCTTTCAAATTTGGCCCTTATCAAAATTATATCCACTTCTTTCAGATCTAGATCTGACTTTATTTCGCTTGAGGTACGAGTGATAATACTCCTCAAGGGAGCTCTTTCTCTTTTAAGCCTTTCCATCTCCTCAAATTGCACAAACACCACGGGGTGAGATCACGTCCGGGCTCACCAGTAATGTTGAAAAGAAAGAAAAAATATTTGTGATATTCACCAGCCGTGTTCGCGCAATTTGAGGAAATGTAAAATGGACCAAACTGTCATAAAATATAACTTTTTATTTTGCCTATCTGCAAATTCTTGATTCTTAATAAGGTCTTATTTACATATATACATTCAACTATAACTTCTCTAATTTTATCTTCTCCAGCTTTAGCTTTGACTTCTCTGAGCTCCTTAACTTTATCTTTTTGACTTTAACTCTTCTCCAACTTTAACTTCTTCTTTAACTTCCTTGATCCTTCTTTGATCTAACGAACATTTGTTAAAACAATTCTCTATAAACTTATTTTAAAAATAATAGATATATTTTGATAATTTGAAACTCGTGAATTTGAATCTCTCGATAAAGTGAACATTTTTCCCAGTCCCTTGAAAAATACTCGATAAGTTGAATAAAGTAAATATGAATTGGTTCCCTCGGTAATTGGAAGTTAAAGGAATAGTATCTTGCCTTGGAATTGTATCATTATTCTTGTCTCAAATAAATTGTCGTGTATCCTAAATTTTGTCTTTCCTAATTTTCTACATTACAAAATCATCATTTTATCTATTCTCCCAATATATATGTTGTAGATAAATGATAAAACTAACTTTGACTTGTGCGCAATTATTAGGTAGAAAATCTTACTTTTGATAAATAATCTTTAAGATAATAAACTTAGTGATAATAAAACTTATAGATAAAAAAACTTGTTATCATCGTCGCAATGGGGGCGCTGCTTGCGAGTTAAATCTACAATAGAGTACAGTAATAGTCTACTATAGAGTACAGACAGACATTCAATTATATATATATATATATAGATTTCTTAGACTTCTTTAAATTTATCTTTAATTTCTTAGACTTCTTTAAATTTATCTTTAACTTCCTTGACCTCTTTGAATTCTATAAATTTATCTTCAACTTCCTTGAGTTCTTTAAACTTTAACTTCACTTCTTTAAACTTTAACTTCACTTCTTTAAACTTTAACTTCACTTCTTTAAACTTTAACTTCACTTCTTTAAACTTCAACTTCACTTCTTTAAACTTTAACTTCACTTCTTTAAACTTTAACTTCACTTCTTTAAACTTCAACTTCACTTCTTTAAACTTTAACTTCACTGCTTTAAACTTTAACTTTACTTCTTTAAACTTTAACTTCACTTCTTTAAACTTTAACTTCACTTCTTTAAACTTTAACTTCACTTCTTTAAACTTTAACTTCACTTCTTTAAACTTTAACTTCACTTCTTTAAACTTTAACTTTATACTTGATCCACCTTCAGTCACACACCTAACTCCGATCTGATACCTTCTCCTCTCCGCGCGCCTATGCCCTGTCCTCTCTTCTCCCTCGACCTCGTCTTTAAATTCCGGGCTAATTGGCCTATCAGGTAAGGTCTTCTAGCCCCAACATGGCTGCACCAAGCAGAACGATCGAGATGCACCGCGGCAATGAGCCAAGCCAGCAGCGAACCACCAGAGCTGCAACGCAGGTGAGTGTGCCCGGGTAAGGGAGGGAGAGAAGAAGGTGTAGTAACACTGAAAGAAGGGAAGATTAAGAAGAGAGTGAAAAAAATCATTTAAAAAATTTGAAAAAAAAAGAAAAAAAATGTGCAGCAAAAGATAAAGAGTTAAGTTCTAAGAAGTTTATCAAGGGGAAAATAAATATAAAAAAAAATATTAAATACGAATGTGAAACAAATGATGGTCTATGGGGAACAGAAAAAAAATCCTGTAACTGATGGTAAAGCCCAAGAATAAAATTATAGCAAATAAAAGAACCAATTCAAAATAAATGGATAATTTTAGAGTAAAATTTTAAAAATCACGGCGGCCAGCCAATGAAAATGAGCGGCCGTCAAGCCACATGACCCAGCGGTGACGTCGCGCGATTAATCGACCAATCAGAGAGCGGCGTCCAATTTCGACCATGCTCTCTAGTTCTTGGGTAACTAGAGACAGCCCTGTCGAAATCCGTCCGCTCGAAAATGGCAGACCAAAGTGTTTGACCTCACACGCACCAAGTGCATACACGCAGAAACTGGTAACAGCACTATCATGCAATTAAGAGGAACCAGAGTCAGAGACTTCCTCTGATTCCCCCTCGCGGATCCGCGGTTTCAATCTGTCACTAGCCAGGAGAAAATCAGCACAGGCCTGCCAGGTTAATTTACTGTGGATGAAGTCGCAGAGCGATTTTGGCGTATGACCAAGTTCCTTTCCAGCAATAAATAACAGGCGGGTTCTAAGGGTGTCGAGACTGTCACACTCGACCAAAATATGTTCAAGAGTTTCCTCCGCCCCAGAGTCGCAGTAGAGGCTGGTGGGATTATCAATAAAACCCATTTTGTGGGAAAAGCTGTCTGTCCAAGTGTGTCCGGACAGCAGACCTACAACGACGTGCACGCTGGGAATGATGAACGCAAACTTTTTGTCTAAGAGACTCATTGGAGTGAGGCCAAAGCGGGTGCAGATGGGGCGAGAGGTGGAGTCGAATCTGCTCTGCCAAGCCGCCCACGCCTGTTTGCGCGCTGTGGATTCAAGTTTCGACAGCGGCGCGAGGCGGTAGCAGCTCGGGAGATCAGACCCAGCTCCATCCCTCGCGAGCGCGTCTGCAACGTCGTTGCCGACGATTCCGCTATGCCCTTTGATCCAGCGTATGGAGCATCTATTCCCATTGCGGTTCAGTAGTGAAATCAACAACAAGGCCCTGTTAATCAGGAAGTTGCCTGTCCTGCAGTTGAGGACTGAGTTCATAAACGAAAGATTGTCCAGGAGAACCTCAATAGTGGTATTAATGGGGAGCTCTGAAGCGTTCTCAAGTGCTTTGATCAAACCAAATGCTTCGGCTTGGAAGACAGAACAGTAACGTGACAAAACATAACAGACACGCAATTCATGCAGGTTTTCATTCACACACACTCTATATAAACCTGCGCCAACTCCATCATTGGTCTTGGAGCCGTCTGTATAGTAGGTGACCTCGGGTGGTAGTTCAGGAATATTACTGGGAAGGAAAAAGAAAGGTGGATACGGCAGAGGTTGAGGAGTGGGAGGAGGTTCAACCGGAAATTCAGCATCCACGTAACCATATTTTTTAAGATACAGTTCCGTTTTGACACCAATTTCCAGGTCAAGGGGGAGAACACGAGATAAGGAGATAAGGGAGGAGTTGTTAGTTGTTTTAAAAGCACGGCAAGCTAAGACAAGGAAAGGACGTTGCGTGATTAGTAAGAGTTTTTTGGAGCGTTCAGAAAGATTGGGAAACCATACTAGGGAGGCGTAAGCCACCACGGGAATAACAACCTGCAAGTACAGCATTCTCAAGGCTCGGAATCTAAAACCAAAGTTGAAATTAGCGGCTGCTGACAGGCGCGGTAGCATGCCGCGGACCTTGGAGCACACTTCAGTAACGTGCTGGTGGAAAGTCAAGCGGCTGTCGAACCTCACACCAAGCACCCTAATGGAGTCGCTCCATTGGACGACCTGGCCATTGCTGATCAGATCGCGCCGGGGCATCCTAATGCGCCCGCGGGGTTTTTGAACAAACATAGCCTGGCATTTATTCACACTGAGCTCAAGTTTATGTAATCCACACCAATTGGTGATCAGATCAATGGCGTGTTGTGCCTTAGACAGTTGACCATGCTTCAATCCCGAGATCACAACAACCAGGTCATCTGCGTTGGCCTGTGGATATACACAATTCTTGTACCCCAGTGTGAGTAATTCATCAAAGACGATATTCCACAGGAAGGGTCCGAGAACTGAACCTTGTGGACATCCTTTGGAAACGCGTCTAGTGACAGTGCATCCATTTACAGACAGTCTGACAGAGCGATGGTCCAGGAACGAGCGAATTAAATCGTGGACGTTCTTAGGACAATCGCTTTTACGCAGGGCCCGCAATATGCTAGAGTGTAGCACATTATCAAAGGCACCTTTGACATCAAAAGAGAGAAGAATAACAGTTTTATGTAAGTTTAGCGACCGGGAGAGGGATTTTTTTAATTTTAAGAGTGCGGCGATGGTTGATTTACAGGGCCTGAAACCGAACTGGTTTGGCTGGGCTTTACACATTCTCTCAGCCCTCCACGATAACCTAGTCAGGATTAGACGCTCGAGAATTTTACCTAGACTAGGCAACATCGTGAATGGCCTATGAGACGCGAGAAAGTTCTCACCACCTTTTTTGGGGATTAAAGCTACATCGCCCAATTTCCAGGGAGTTGGAAAGTGTCCAGTTTCAAGACACCTGTTAAAAATTTTCAGAAAAAAACGTCCGGAATTGTCTAATCAGTTTAACACAAACAACAGGTGGCATGCCATCACTACCAGGGGAAGAAGATAAGCGAACCTTATCCGCGGCCAGCTGCAGCTCAGGTTCTGAGAACAGAGGATCGTTATCAGAAGTAGACTGCATGGCTCTATGTAAATTATTAAGCCCTACCATGGAATCGGGCGGGACGCGGCCGAAATAATGCTGTAATACGTAGTCTAAAGTGTCCCGCTTACTAACAGTGAAGCCGGCGCCGACCGCGAGGGAGGAGAGAGGTTTTTTCTTTTGCTTTCCTCTGATGAATTGATAAACACCGCCCCAAGGGTTGACTTCGCACTGCGAGCAGACTCTTCTCCACTCCTCCTGCTTAGCTTTTCTGATCGCAGCACGAAATCTGTTATAAAGCTTTTTGTGAAAGACTTTTAACACACTTCTGACGGCCCCGCGAGCGCGTCTCCACGCACGCTCGGCCTTCAGAGTGGCCCTTTGGAGCGGATTTAATTCCGGTTTCCACCAAGATGCATTTTTTATTTTGCCAGGTTTATTTGGCTTGGAAGGAATGGTCTGTATGCATGAATGAAACACCTCGTCACTAAGTAATGTAATAACATTATCTAGTTGAGATGTGTCACTCACGCTTTCTATCAGGAACTCAAGATTCGAAAATTTTTTTTAAAGTGTGAAAAAAAAAATTCCCAGTCGGCGCGGCCAAAGCTGAAGTTTACTTCGCTAAAGTTATTCAGAATGACATTGCTGTTATTGCTATTGGATGGGGGATCGAAGTTGATGCTAAACACGAAGCGTTTATGGTCAGATAAAGCCTAGTTGATCGCGTTCCAATCAGCGATCCTGTCCAAGAGGCCAGCAGGTCACATCTATAGAAGAGGACGATTCGCGTTCCTCCCACGTGATGGTACCATGCTCGTTGACCACATGAAGCAGGTTGGCATCAAGGAAATTCTCTACATCATTTTTTTTTATTTTTGGGGGAAAGTGGAGCTAAGCAACCGCGCTTTATCTGACCATCTGTAAGATTCAGTATTTAAGTCGCCGCAGAAAACTACCTCGTGATAATTAATAGATTTGAGAGAGAGGTCTATCCTATTCAAAAGATCGCTAACACAACACGACATAAACATTACATAGAAGGATGGACAAGTTGTTAATTTCACACAGGACAAACACAGCGTTTACACAGGACAAATGGATGAACTTCAGGCTCGGATTTGCCATTATCACCGTTGCTCCCAGTTTGTTTCCAGCGATGGAGCCATGACAGATTCTGTCAGAGGGCACAGGAATAGATGGTAAACTGCCTTTAGCAACTGGGAGTTCTTGTAATAACAGCACATCCGTTTTTTCATTGAAACATTCATTCCACAAGGAGGACAAACACCGAGGGGAGCGTCTTACATTTGCCTGAACACACCTGAGCACGTTCATTGCACCATTAAAATATTGAAATTCTCCTGGGCGTCCCGCATGTGCTTACACGCCATTGAGTTTGCGCTGTGCTTGCCACCACACCTGTGGCATTTCAGCACAGCCTTGTTGTCACAGGCCTCGGACAGCTGCGCACCAGTGCAGTGGCCTCATTTAGCCGCCCTGGTACACTTCTTACCGTTGGTGTGGGTCCTGTGACTCAGGCTGCCACAGACACCGCAGGGAAAGACGCGCTTAGCCCTTGCGAGTCTCAGGGAGAGGTAGTCTATTGTGATCCTACCGCGCTCGAGTAGAGCAGTCTCAACGTCCTTATTTACCTCTACTATCGCGGTGGAGGAAGATCCCTCTTTTCTAATCAGTTTTACCATCCTGATGTCGTCGCCGCTTTTCAGCAGCTTTTCGACAGCGGGATGGCATCTGATGTCAGCCATAAGCTGCTCCTCAGTTTTCTCTCCAGGAATACCGAAGAGAGCAAGCCTGGGCTTGAATGTAGGGTTCGTTTGGACTTTAAGGCTGCCAATTTTGGCGGTCTTGACGTTGTCAACAAACCTCTTTTTTCAGAGGGATTTGTGATGTGGAGGACCAGTTTTTTGTCCCTACCAGTCACAGAGGCAACACCCAGGTTCTTCAAACTGGGAGTCTGAGCAATTTTCGCCCTTAGCTCCTTGACAGAGAGATCAGCGGAGGCCAACTTTACGTGGTTGGCACTGTTACGCAGAGTCTGCGCGTAGCTGGGCCGTGAAGGCTTGGTCAGCTTAGCATTGACATTGACTGGCGGCGTGGTTTTCGTCACCGAGGAGGATTTGGGAGCTGAATTGGCAGCGGGTTTGGCTGCGGGAACGGAGATAGCCGCGGGAGCGGGAAAAGCGGCGGTAGCGGCCTTAAGCTTTTTTTCGTAATCCACACGGAGTTCCTCCGTTTTTAGATCGCAATTTTAAGCTTATCGGACATTATCCCAAACACAGTGTGTTGGAGACTCTTTAACAAGACATCAATTTGACTGAACATGGTACCGTATTCTGCAGAACCTAGTTCCTTTTTCAGGGCTGAATCTATTTCCCCATAGACCACTGAGAGACAGTCAGAGAAGCTGGAGCGAATCTCTTCCCACCCTTCCCTAAACGCCTGATTGGAGTCAAGAGGCACTATAGGAGTAGGAGGAGAGGGAGACATCCAGGGAAACTCACCATTTGACGGAAATGCTGTGGTTACAGGCCTGGCCCCGCTGCCAGGAGGGTCCGTCGCTTTTTTTATGCTTTGATGCATTGCTGCATCCAGCCAGAGGGGTGTCCATCATGCCAGGGACAGGTCCAATCGGGGGAGGATCCGAGGAGCTTTCTTTTAAAGTTCTTGCGTTTATTTATTCTTCCTCGCCTAGTCTTCCTCGCCTATAAGTAGTAGAACAAAGGCAGTCTTTTGAACTTCTCTTGTTTTCAGGGGTCGTCTAGGAATAGATCTTTGAATGAATGAATGATCGTCATCTCCCTCGACCTCTTTCTCGCCGCGACTTTTATAGTCGTTTAAGGGTCACGTGGACGGACTCTGTGGATTTACTCTGTGGCGCATCCCGTGATGCCCGCCATCTAGAGCCGTTTTCCCGAATTAAAATTTAAAATTATATATTTCCAACATATATATTACATATATGGTATAAACCATTTTATTTAGCGTTCTTGGAATTGTACTTTGACTCGATTTAATGTTTTCAATTTTTCGCAAGGATATTTCTGTTTTTGAAAATAGAGCAATCCAAAAATAGATATTTAATTAAAAAGGGCATATATTGGATCAAAAAATAATATATTTACCAAGTGTATTTTCAAAGTATAACAACTGAAATATTGGTAAATAAATTTGATCCAATATATGCCTTTTTAATTAATGTTCTTTGACAAATCTTTGAGTAATATTTGTGAAAGTTTGACGACAATCCATACGGAAATTTTATTGGAAATGATCATTTGAACAGTAAAGTCCTCGTCTTCCGATTTCTTAAAAATGGCGTCTTCTTATTTTTTTTTTTTTTCTAAATAATTTTACCCAACACGCGGAGGTGAACATCCCTCCCTTCGATGGAACCTACGCCGCTCGCCAATTCTTCCAGGCCAACGACCGGGAGATGGACGTAGCCCTCGTTACCACCTCCGAAAAGCTGCTCAGGTTGCCTCGCTACCTGACGCGCCAACCCCTGGAGCTCTTCAGGAAACTCTGGTTGGCCACCCAGACCTACTTTCAGGTGAGACAAACCTTCCTGGACCTCTACCCGGAATCCAACGAGGCGTCCTTCGCCAAGTACTTCACCCTGAAGCTTGCTGGGCAGGAAAGCCTGGAGGAGTACTACCGAGGGAAGACAGCGCTGGGCATGCAACTGGGTCTCCCACAGGAGGTAATCCTAGAGAGGCTGACGGAGGGATCGCCGCTCTCCGACCAGCGCCTTGTCCGCGTTGTACCTCCTGAGAACCTGAGAGAGTGGTACCAGCTGGTGCAATGGATCCGCGAAACTAGCGCACCATTTTCGCGTCACCACGAGTAACAACCGCCCCACACAACCGGCCCATACACCAGCACACCAAGAAGAACAGGTGCGTGGACTGCACCTGCACCGCCGTTGAACTGCAAATTCTGCGGCTGCCATCACTGGCACTCTGAGTGCCGCCATAAACCCTCTTCACACGCGAGCGCGCGGGCAGTGTGCCCCGCCCAACATCCACCACAAGACCAAGCCGGACAAGCCGCCCGAGACACCCCAGCCTTTCTTCAGCCAGGTAGGAAGGCCCCGACTTTTCGTCAGCCCAACTGACGATTAAACTCTCCCTCACCCCTGAACTCTCACCCCCTTTCCTAGTTGACACAGGCGCGAGTTTGAACATAGTGCCCTATAACCTCTATAAAAAGTTAAAATATAACCTCCCTCAACTGCAGCTTAAAAAACAACCCATAGACCTTCAGGCCATAAACGGCCCTGTACCGACCTTAGGTCAAATAACCCTCCCTTTGACAATAGGTAAAATAACCAAAAATAAGAATTTCCATGTGGTGGAAGCACCTCTACCATTCGGAATTCTCGGTATAAATACCCTCCGCAACTTTAAAATAACAATAGATTTTAACCAAGGCACTATGTTCCAACTTGCCACCCCATTGCAACCTACCACCTACCATTTTACTTTTATACCAAATGAATGCGCCTATTGGGAATGCCAAGCGGGGTCACAAATGGCTCACAAGCCTTCCGCATACGGCACCCAATACGCGCATCCATTGGTCAAAAACCATTTTCTACTATGCCAATCTAGATCACGTCACCACACACCATTTTTTCACCAGGGCTAATTGCCCTTATTATACACCCTCTATACACAAGGCCACAATGGCCCAAACTTACCACAAAAATGCCCAAACAGTGTCCTTCCAACAGGACAACTCTCACGTTATGTACACATGTAACCACACACCACTACACCACCATCACACGCGTGTACATGACAATAATCGCGACACTCACACTAAAGCACATCAAAAACACCTCCCAGACATATGCGACATCACGACACAAAGTCCTCACTACCCACCTCACTTTCCCACACTTTTACAACGGTACAACCACATATTTACACAAAACAAATTCGCCGTACCTTGCCTAAAAATCCCAAAGGTAAAAATACCCACAAACTCAGACAAAATCATCACCATACGTCCATATCGTGTTCCGATATGCGACCAACAGGAAATCCGCAGTCAGATCCAACAAATGCTGGAAAACGGTATTATAGAGCTGTCGTTCTCACCTTTCTCTAGCCCAGTCACTCTCGTCACCAAGCGCGACAAGACCAAAAGGTTTTGTATTGACTTATAGGAAGGTGAACGAACTTATCAGCTCCGATGTCCATCCGCTCCCAAAGATCAAGGATATACTCGACCGCACGGGCCAAGTATTTCTCTACTGCCGACGTATCCTCCGCATATTGGCAAGTTCCGATACACCCCGATTCTCGACCTCTGTTGGCCTTTGCCACGCTCGAGGGGTTATTCCAGCCCACTCGATTGCCTTTTGGGCTGAAATCCAGTCCTTAGATCTACGAAAGAGCCATGAGCCAAATCATACAGAGGCACGGACTTGACTGTGTGGCCCACTATTTCGACGACTTAATCATTTTCTCCAACACGTTGGAGGAACATCAAAACCATCTGCGCCGATTTTTAGCATTTTGCGAGGCAGAAAAATTACAATTTCGCAAAATGCGAATTTTTTTAAGCAGTCCATAAACTTCCTAGGATACACCATTACTGCTGGTACCACCACACCACTCACACGCAACACAGACATCATCCACGCCATCCAACAACCACACAACCGAAAAACATTGCAATCCTTCTTAGGCGCTGTGAACGTTTATAACAAGTTCATTCGAGACAACGTCTGCTTGCAGACGCCACTTAACAACCTTCTCAAAAAGGATGTCACGTGGGCCTGGGATGACAAATGCCAGAAAGCATTCACTAGCCTGAAGGAAAGCCTCGCCACACACCCCATCTTACACCTTTATCAGGAAGGTCTGCCATGCCAGGTGTACTGTGACGCCTCAACACTCGGCATAGCAGGCATCCTCAAACAGGTCCACTCTGATGGAAAGACATATCCAGTCCAATACTTCAGCCGCGCCCTACGTTCACACGAACGGAATTACTCCATCTCTGAATTAGAATGCCTAGCAATCGTTGAGAGTGTGGATAAATTCCGCGTCTATTTGATGGGCAGAAAATTTACCATATTTTCTAACCATCACGCATTGCAATGGCTGAAGACGATCCAAAACCCGTCAGGCAGAGGCAGATTATTCCGATGGAGCTTACGACTGTCGAGCTACGAATATGAGGTTCGTTACATAAAAGGAGCACAACAATATGAAGCGGATCTCGTGACCGATTCTGTAGCTTCTTAGACGCCCCCCTCATTAAGTAAGTCAACAAGCCCAAGTCGACACCACAAACACGATTCGACATGTACTATGATGGACATTCTGACAACCAGATTGGCAAAATTTAAAATATCAATATGACTATGTTGATGATAAATCTGAATGATACAAGTTTAGGTGAGGTGATTTCCTTCCTCTGAGGAGTTGGTTGTCTAACTCTGATTCCTCTCTCTCTCAATTACACTACTTTGAACATGTCTACTCGCAGTCTTTTCTAACTCTGAGCCATCTAACTTCTCAAAGTGGCTGATGGAGTTGTTGCCGAACCTTACACATAAACAACTCTCTAGAGGATATGAATATAGGCTTAGAGAAACAACCTGTAGTTCTTCACTCCCTACACATCCTATTAAACACCTTGACTGCGTTCTTCATACCCATTCAAATATGGGACTAGCAGGAAATCATTTCTACTTTAGACACCTTCCTCATCCTCCATAGACTGATTAAAATAAAACTTAACCAAAGAACAGGGACTACATCCGCTGCCACATTAAAAAATTTAATGATCCCATTTAAGCAAATGATTCTCCTAAAGAGAAATAACTAAAATTAAAATGACTATTCAAATGAGCCAAAATGTTCAAATGTCCTGAATGGTTGAGTCTTTCGAGAAAAAGAAAAGCTATTAAATGAAAAAAAAAAATCTTAAGACAACCTATTATTTTCCTAGTATTGACAATTGCTAAAAGGTTCATTCACATTGCCTATTGTATAAATAAACGGGCGCCATGCAATTTTTTTAAACAAGGTAATGATGACAATATTTAAACCTTTTGTGAAATTGCAAAAACACTAGCATCTATACATATAATTAAGCAAGCAATAACCTTCACCTTTTTTTTTTTGAATGGATATACTAACTGAATGCACACTTAAATATGTTATATATATGATGGAGATGTTACTACATTGTGGACTGCGCCTGGATTGTCTACAGTCATTCACTAATAATGCAAGCCCAAACAAGGCATTAAAGCATTATTTGACAGTAATTCATTGCCATAACCTTCTTTCCAGCTATATCAAAGTTTATCTGTGCCAGTCATCTAATTCACTCTAGATTGCAGTAGTTGGAGAAAATATTAGTATGTTATACCTAGTGCGACTTGTTACATTAAGTGCGACATCATCCCTATACATGAGGGGGAATAAATTAAATAGAATTAGAGCCTCAATATATAATGACCTTAAGGTTTATAAGTGTCTACTCTTGGCCTATTCATATGATTTTTAGTGAATTCTAAATAGGATTAATTGGAATTTTTTTTAGCTTAACTCATTCTATGTTAGGATAGTATTTAAATTATTAAAGTACTTCAAAGCGGATCACCAGAACAAGCCAGTGAGTCAGATTCAAGAGAAGGAGGAATATTGAATAGGATATGATGGACGACAATTAATTTTTTTCAGCTAGGTTAAGAAATAATTTTTAAGAGAGCGTGTAGAACCAGATGTCAGATACAGATGGGACAAGAGATACAAAATGTTTAGAATGAATTGAATACCTCTTAAGAATTAAGAGAAGTATTTCTCCTTTATTATTAGTGTTAAATTTTATTTGGAATCTGGTAACAAGTATGAGATAGGTGAAGTTTTATTAAAGTAAATTGACTGTACACATTCTACAGATAGGTGGAGTTTTTAAGTTTTGAATATATGGAGGTGGACAGTAACGGCCATCTAGATATTGGGTGGACTATGGCTGTCACCCTAGATAGAGTAAATATAAAAAGTAGTCTGGTCTAAGAGGCCATTTGACATGTAAAAACATATTTTTTGTATTCCCATCAAGGTTAAGAAAGATGACAGATATTCATGGAAATCACTCCCAGTGAAAAATGTAGAGAGCAAATTAATCGATATGTACATACAACAAGGTATCAGACTCTCAGTGCATATAATCTCATTAATGTATAGGACCCCAATTTACCCCAACATTTACCTATTTCTATATGCTTATCTACCCTATCCTACTAATATATATGTCATAATTTGTACATAACTGGATGTAATCCCACCACCATATGTATGCAATGTATGATATAAAGATTTTAATAAAGACGAGGCTTAGCGAAATCTGGGAGAAAGGCCATCAGAGAGGAAACGGTCATTAGTAGGTTTTATTGTCCCGGAACTCATAAAAACTTAGTTCAAGAACCTTCCCCTTCCGGGGTCATGTTAAAACAAGACAAGGACAAAGGATTAACAAAGATCCAATCAGAGTCCAGGAAGATTAGCCAAGACCAATGAGAAACGGGCACACCTGGACAGTCATCCAATGAGAGCCCTGAGAAGTTTACATGTTAAATCTCGGACTCTGTTTAGTTAGTTAGGAGCTCGGCACCATCGCAACAAGTTGGGACCTGGACAGTATCGAGTTAACAGCAGGACCTGTCAGAGCCAGGACCTCGCCACCATCTTCCTCATCACGCAGATAAGTCCAATGTTCACTATGTGACAGCCTAGCCTTAGTCAAGAACCCCATAGTCACCCCTTTCTCCCTTGATCGCTGGCCTATTTCAATCCAATCCTGTGTCCTCGTTATTTTCCCCTGTGTGAATACCTTACTATCTCAGCAAACACGACTGCGCCCACAACAATCAATCAATCAAACCACTCAATCAACCATCACCAAAAAGCCCCGCACATTTCAGTGAGTCGACAGGATTCGACATATATATATTTATATATACCCACTCAATCGTGTTTATTCTTTTCTGAGACATTTATATATGTGAACAATTAGAAATCAACAAGAATAGTTGATATTTATTCCGATAGATGGCGCAAGCCATCAGCAACTTTCAGTTGCATGATAAGGAGATGCCTTTTTCATAATTTATACATGTTTATTTACTCTATCCTACCACTATAGTTTTGAAATACTCATTCAGTCATATTAACCTTTTTAAACTTTTCTGCACTGTGTACATTTTATGTAACTTGTATGGTATTGTCAGTACCAAAAAAAATAGATATGTTTTAGGAGTGGTACATTTCTAATTTCACCCTTAAAACAACTCTTTGGCGCCCATATAATAATGCCCTGTTTGGGATGGTCTAAATGTCTGTCTATGCAGAACATTGTTTAGACCACCCCCCCTCTCCTAGAAGGACTGCAGCGGGGAGTACATGGAGTCACTTCCCAGCTATGCCCAAGTCCCAAGTTCCCAGCATGCAAGCCACAGCCAAGCAATGAAGATGGGCTTTGTATATTGCCCAATAAATGGTAGGGTGAACATTCTCAACAACTCACAATCTGTAGCAGGAATGTCCCTATCTTAAACCAACC